TAATCATGATTAATTAATTTTTCAGCTGTGATTAATCTGATTAAAATGTTTAATCGTTTGACAGCCCTAGTTTTTACATAATTTTACAGGATATTGCTATACTATTTCTCATGCTTTACTTCTAACATTAATATCTGATTTATAAAACATCACAGACAGAAAGGTATATCCGTCATTTAATGGTAAACTATTGCAATTGTGATTCCATAGATGTGTCTCCCATCACCCAAAACCCCTGACTATTCTTTCAACTCAGTATTTCCATTCTTATATTCAAAGAAAATCAGAATATCTTTAAAAACTACAAGTCCTTTTCTATCAGCTGTGCACCGTTATGGTGTGAATATAACTTATCTACCAATTGGATCAAATATAAAAGTCAGCCAAATTAAGGTTGATACTGCAAGGAGACGTATTGTATGAAAAGAAATGGAAGATGTTGTTTAATTGCGGATATATTTATGATCCACGTCACGTTTTCAGTTTTGGTGGCAGTTCTTCCTGTTTGTCTAGAAGTCTTCTCATCAGGGCTCTATAAATAAAGAACTACGGCAGATATGTAATATGTAATGCAGCCGAACCGTATGTTACAATGCCGTTATGTGATGACTTCCAAAGAGAAAAGCAAGCACACTCGGAATAAAGTATTATTTTCTTTTTTTAAATGTTTTTCGGATTTCATATTGCATTAACACCATATCCCAACATGCATTGCGGCTAAACAATCCAATCACCGAGCTTCTAGCTGAGAATCTTGGGCAGTTCAGTGGGTTATTGTTGTGTATCGCGATGTTGCTCGAAATGTCCCTTATAGGCCTACGTCTGTCTCCGGTGACTTTATTTTGAAATTCTGTTCCTGAGAAACGACTAAAAAGCCAGAGATTATAGAATTCAAGGAATAAATAAAAACAAGGATAATTGTGTGTTATTGTTGAGTAAATAACAGTGTGTTATTCAGAAAAGAATAACAAATTAGAAAAAAAATCCAGATTTCATTATTCTGAGGCTCCGAGCCCCATTTATTTTACTCACAGAAGGCAAAAAAAAGTCTGAAATTATACAATTTAAAATAAAAACAATAATTGTGGCTTGATATTGAGTAAGAACCGGTAAGAACATGTTTTTATGAACCGCACAGCTTCCGGTCTACCAAGACCCGACGGACAAAACGTGGACGCAAAACTCGGTATCAGATCTCAATGGGAATGGTTAGCGTATCATATGCACGCAAAATCGGACTTCTGCGTATCTATTGCACGCATTACCAAAATGTAAAGTCGTGTCATAGTGACGTGCAACAACATTAACCTTTCTGTTGGTCACTTGTTAGCAGACCCTTCACGCGATGGCAGAGCGAACAGGTACAGGTAGGGCCCATAATGATAGCCCTATAGTTTTAAATCTACTACCCACAAATAAACATTTGGACATGGGTTACTATTTTTTTTTTAAATGGAACATTTATTTATGAACCTATCCATGGGATTTTAAGTAGGGGTGGACCTCAAATCCTCTAGGGGGGTCTGGGGGCATGCTCCCCCGGTAAGATTTTTTATTTTATTTTGGAGTTAAATGCATCAATCTGGTGCATTTTGAGGGGAAAATAAAGAGACTAGATCTATGGAAACACCTATATGAAACAGAACTGTATAAATTTCAATAATCATAAAATCATGTCCATAACCAATAACATACCATTTCCAATATGAAAAACACTGAAACTTGTTTATTTATTTATTTTTGGTTCATTTATAGTTGTGAGTGTATCTGTGCTCCTGAATCAGCCTCTCCTGTCTCGCTCCTCTCGCCCCTGCTCCTCTTTGAGGCAGCAGCAAAGGCTAGTTTTAGCTCTCAACAAGTTTTAAAAGTGTATATTACCTTTTATCCCCTAGTTAACTTCTTTTTTTAATTTTATTTATGCATATTTTACTAATCACTACTCCCTCAAATGGAAATATGTGTTTACATAAATGGTGACCAAACCGTTTGAGACCCACAGAGAACTTAGACTAAGTTAACTATCTAAACACTCAGAGAGTCCTTTACCTCTCCTGAGCTGAGGTTATCCCGAGCTTGACTGACACACAGAGACCAATCAAGGGCTTTGATTTATGATCTGTATGACAGTGGCCATGTCGGCAGGCCACATCATGTAGACAGCCAGTCACCCTGTGTGAGGCAGGCCACTTAACAGGCCAGGCCATCGGGAAACCCCCCGGTCCTCCCGACTGCCAGTCCGGGCCTGGGTACAGGAGGCGTAGAGCGAGGGATCATTGTCCACAAGTTAATTGATCGCAGATGGAGTCGTGTTCGCGGACGGATAAAAAAAAAAAGAAATACCTAAATAGGTCGTGAAATATACTTGGCCGGCCGTTAATATACCTGGGCGGCCCGCCCAAGTAAAGTCTATGTGTGGGAAACCCTGGTGCGGTCCTAGTAGTTATCATTCAAATTATTATCATTAACTAATTGGGGCACTATAGCAATGTTTCTCATGTTTCTTGTCTTCTTCTCTTCAGGTAATGACCTGGGTGTGGCTTTTGAGATCCCTCAACAATTGAAGAGTCAGCCCTTCTTTGCCTCCTGCGTTCTAAAGGTATCACATCAAAGTAATGCTGGATTAAAAAAACTAACAGGTGCCAGTTTTACACCATACAAATGGCTCTCTTTCTTATCTGTGTTCAAGAATGCAGAGCTGAAGTTCAACTTTGGAGGAGAAGACTTTAAAAATGCCCCCAATAGTGGGTTTGTTGCCATGGACCAGGCGCCATAGGGCCACGCAGTCAAATCTACTCAGGCAGGTGTGTGGATACCACCTTATTTCATATGCAAAAAGAACAGATATATGGAATTTAACTGCGATGACTATCATACACCTTAACCAGAGACAATTTAGATAAAACAATCGTTAGTTTCACAATAAAAGCCTTCTTTCGTTAGACATTTTTAAATCATATTACCAGAGCGGTCATTTTACCATTGCTAATGTGACTGATATATTCCTGCATTGACTAGCCCTCTTTTTCTCTCGTTTGTGCAGGCAGTGCCAAAGTGAGTCAGGTGAAAGCAACATCCAATTCACCCAAAGCCCTGATCATCGAGCCATCTAAATAGTTGGCCGAACAAACCCTCAACAATGTCATTTAATGTATGAAATACGTGGATAACCCCAAACTCAGGTATGACTTTAGTGAGGTATTAACAACACTGGATTTCACAAACATCGGAAAACCATTTCCTGTGTAGTACTTATGCTGAGCCATATCTAAAAATATACGTTCTGCACATTTAACAGTATTATACTTTTTATATTTCCCTGATTATCATTTTTGTTTTATACCAGCAGATGGAGCCAGTGATCAATTTTAAATGTTGATATCAGTAATGCAGTAATGTTTTGATTTGGCTTACAGGAACCTGTTGGTGATTGGTGGTGTGCCTGCCAAGGACCAGATGGCTGCTCTGGAACATGGGGTATGTGACATGTGCCGTCTCCAAACAAACTGAGTTTACACTTTAAGTAGTTTTAACTAACATATCTTTTTTGCCTTGTTTGCCTCTTCTGTTTCTGATTTTTGTGTCAAATTTTAATAAGGTTGACTATTGTCGTGGGAACACCCGGAAGACTGGACGACCTCATATCCACCGGGAAGCTCAGTCTTTCCCAAGTCCGCTTTCTCGTCCTGGATGAGTGTGTATGTACAAAACATCTTGAGTATTTCCCTTTTTAAAATCAGAAGCATTCATATTTGCATCCATCAAAGTACAGTTAATGGTTAATCAGTGTTCCCTGTATCCCTCAGGATGGCCTTCTGACCGCAGGCTATACAGACTTTATCAACAGGATTCATAACCAAATCCCTCAGGTCACCTCTGATGGCAAGAGACTGCAGGTAAGACTTCAGATAAATCACATATGTGTCAAAAAATCAGTTATATGCTTTTTTCAGACCATTTTAAACAGTAAAGTAAAACAACACACTTAGATGATTGTTAAAGCAATTTTGGGGTATTTTCTGAAAACGTTTTATATATGAGGTGCAGATGAATTAAAAGAATATGTTAACGATGCTTGTTTGTGCTCACCAGCTGTGGTCAGAAGCCATCAAGATACTAAAGGGCGAGTACACATTGAGGGCCATCAAAGAGCACAAGATGGACCAGGCCATAATCTGCCATCAAGATCGACTGTGACAACATGGAACAGTACTTCATTCAGCAAGGAGGAGGTATACTACTGAGAATTTCAGCCATCACTAGACATACACACACATATATAAATAATAAGGACTTAATTAATGTTTGACTTATTTCTACTAAAACAATACTGAATAAACACTCAGTTTTGGTGTCTTTCTTAGGTCCGGACAGTAAAAGCCACCAGTTAGTCCTGACGTTTGTCTCCATGGTGATCGTAAGCCCAATGAGCGTAAGACTAACTTGGAGCGTTTCATAAACAACAAGAACTTAATGATACCTTTTTGATGGAT